CTCGGTCGGTAACCTAGGCTGTAGGGTCCAACCAAATGAAACCGCTTGGTACCATTACTATCATTGCTAGACTTGCTAGAATCAATCTCACGAAGCTTCCTTCGGTGGTACCGAAACCCTAAACCCTAAACCTTCAGCCCTAAGCCTTAAACCCTTAACCCTCTAAACCTTAAGGCCTAAACCTTAAACCTTAAACCCTATAAACCTTAAGCCCTATAAAGCTTAAACCCTAATTAGCCCTAAAGCCTATAGAGCAAAGGCGCTGCCGGCCGTTGGCCTGGTGGGAGCCCGTGCCTCGTCGGTTAGCACCCCGGTCGCTACGCTAGCAGCGGTGCGGCAGGTGCCACAGCGCCCCGGCGAGCGGAGAGAGGGTTTAGGGGTTTAGGTTTCGAGGGTGTGTAGGGTGTATAGGGTTTAGGGTTTATTTGGGGTTTAGGGTTGAGGGAAGAGAGGGTTTTAGGGGTTAGAGTACGTTCTTCCTTGGAGCGGGTTGTGTGGGCCGAGGGTTTAGGGCAGAGGAGGTTTATCTAAGCGGATGCTTTCAGAGGGTTCTGCGGCATTTTCTAACGACTCCACTGTCGATAAACCCAAAACCGTAATCCCTAAGCCCTAAACCCCTTAGTCCCTATTCCCTCAGCCCCATCAGCCCCAAAAGCATTGTCCCTTATCCCTGATGCTAAACTACTCAAGGCCTGATCAGCCTCTACCTACAGCCAAGATAAGCCAGACGCCCCAAGCCCTAAAGCGTAGGTCATAGGCCTCAAACCCTACACCCCAAACAAGGATATCCCTGACACTGACCCCACAAACCCTAGACCCTAAACCGACACCCTACGCCCGAATAAGGATATCTTTTGGCTCTACCAATCCGGCTTTGTCCAACAAGGCACCGGACTGGCAACTTCTGGCAGTGAGGGAGATTAGAGTTTCAAGGTTCGCGAGGTCAGGTGCATTTTAGGGCTGATTATGGGATTTGCATATTGGGGCTTAACTTGGGTTTGGGATTGCAGTTTGGGGTTCTTTTCTGGGTTTGGAGCTAGGGATAAGGGTGTTCATTGCTACCTTAGCTCTTCGATTCTGGGTTGAAGCGCTTCATGTCATGGTTTGAGGAAGTGAAGTTATTTTTAAAATCCCTGGAAGGCTGTTTATCCATACTTCCTCCGCGTGGTACCACCGGACACGGTGCAGGGCTTGGCGTTGTGGAGCTGGATCCTGCATTTCGATGCGCCCTTGGCAATTTGCCTGTATTCCACGGAGACTAGTCATGCGAAAGAAAGGTTTTTGGTGAGTTCCTAGAATTTTAAGACCTCGAAGTCGAGAGACTGGTAGTTTTCGCCTTCACCTAGACTACCAAATCCTACGTCCGAACATCCGAAAGCCACACCCGAAGCCCTTAAGCATCTGCCTTGAACCCAAACACCTAACCTGAACAGCCTGAAGCAACCACCCTAAAATACCTCACCTCTACGACAGTGTGAAGGTCCTAAGGACCTCATCTTCTCACCCAGCCGTCCTAAGCCCTAAACCCTAAGCTCCAGTCAGCCCGAAGCCCTGATAGTACCCCTGCTGGTAACACTTCTACGTAATTCTAGTTGCCCCTTATAGTAGCCTGTAAAGCAAGCCTTATGAGCAACCCTTACACAAACCATAACACCAAACCCTACACCCTTATAGTAAAACTGATCGCAAGCCATTTGGGCAGGCCTCGAAATTAGGGTCCCTTTTTTGGTTTAGAGAGCTCCAAACCCTAAACCCCCTAAACCCTAAACCCCTAAACCCTAAACCCCTAAACCCTAAACCATGAGTACAAGACTGACAGCCCGAAGCAAGTTCGCTGAAAGGAGCCCTTTGGTCAAGGGCTCTTGGGTGTCATCGAGGACCTCAGAGCAGAACAACAGAAGCCTGGGTTTAGGGGTGTAGGGTTTAGGGATTTAGGGTTTAGGGTTTTAGGGTTGTAGAAGCCTGAGTGGTGAAACTAGGGGTTGGGGGGGGGGGGGGGGTAGTCTGTTCACGATAATGAACTCGCAGGACTCAGCATGTGGGTAGTTGTCTAAATTAGGGTGCCTTTTAGGGTCCTTTTTGTAAGGGTGCCGTACGACATTGGGGACCTAAAAGGGGCCCTAATTTAGAGAACTACCCATATTGCTAGTGGCATAGGCTTCTACATCAGGGCCTTTAGGGGCTAAGTTGCCTGGTTCAGGGTTTCGGGCCAGGGGTTCAGAGCTGGGGATTGAAGTTTCGGGGGGCTTTAGGGGGTTGTGGTTTAGGGCTTCAGGTTTCAGGGCTTCTTCGTCTTAAACCCTGAACCCTTAAACCCTGAACCCAAAACCCGGAACAATAAACCCTTAAACCCTAAACCCTAAACAGTCTTAGGTTTTAAGGTTTCGGGCCGTAAGGTTCGGTTCTTAGTAGAGGTTGCAGTCTTCCGAGACTGGGGCTTCGGGTTTCAGAGTTTGGGTTTCAGGGTCTTAGGGTTTAGGATCTTAGGGTTTTAGTTTGAGGGTTTAAAGGTTTAGGGTTTCAGGGTTTAGGGTTTCAGAGTTTGGGATGAATGGTTTGGGGTCCAAGGCCTAGGGGCCCGTAGTACAAGTAGGACTAGTGGGACCACCAGGCTGTGGGACATAGCTCTAGCACTACTCGTAGCATCACCCAATATGTCGGTATGGCAGAGCACAGTTCTTATACCGTCTCTCGATAGGGGTTTAGGGACTTAGGGTTTAGGGGTTTCGGGGTTTAGGGGTTTAGGGTTTAGGGTTTAGGTAACCTTGACGACAGCCCGCTGTTTTGAGAGGACTTGGCACGTGAAGAGCAGCAGCCAGACCGCGTGAAGGGCCACGCACTGCAGTACACCCCCCAGGGCATCTCGAGGGAGGACGTCTCGAGGGGAGTTGGGCGGAAGGTGTAAAACCCGGAATCCGAAAACCAAACCTACACCCCAAACCTTGAGAAAGCCTAGCCCCGATACCCCAAACTCCCTAAACCCTAAGCCCGAAACCCTAAACCCTAATTTCCTAAACTCCTAAACTCCTAAACCCTAAACCCTCTCGCAGGATGGGGCCAAGGCAATCCAAGAGTTGAAGCTTTTGGGCTCACGCTTCGTCATCCTCGCGCTGGAGCCCAGCATCTCGGTTCAAAAAGTACTAGCCTTTTTCGCAGTTTTATATGTTTTTTCAGAGCTTGAGGACTTAGACCTTTGGGGGTTTTAGGGCCTAGTTTTGTTGAGGGTTTAGATCTTAAGGGATTTCGGGCTTGTTTGTTTCTTTAAGGGGGGAGGGCGGAGTGGCTCAGCCCATAGCTTCAGGTCAAACAAAACCTCAGAAATCGCAATTCCCCAATAGCTTGCCGCGAAAAGGCTCTGCAGCCAAACCTTCAAAAACAAGAGAGTTCTGTGCCAAGAGTTCTGTGCCAAACCTCTTAAAACAAGAGGAGTTTGGCCAAAAGCAAAGTCCTCGCCTGCTGAGTACCTAGGTATGGCGTCGCAGATCATGCCGGTCTCCCGCCTGGAAGAGGGCTGCGGGATTTTGGGGCTTCAGGGCTTCCGGGTCTGGGGTTTGAGCTGAAGGGATCAGAAAACCCTAAGCCCTAAGCCCCAAAACCCTAAACTCCAGACCCGAAACCCTAAACCGAATCAGAAAGGCATGAGCGGGAGGGTGATGTTTTGCATGATCCTTGTTTTGGCACGGGCTGGAACTCCGAGCTATCGTTGGCGTTTTAGACGTCGAACTTCCTGGCACTGTGCAAGGCAATAGGGTTCCTTTCTTGCTCTGTTTATTCACATGTCCTATGATTGCTCCAGGTACTATACAGTTGAATGACGACATCCTGCATGCTGGTGTGTAAGAGAGGCATCAGACGCTCGATAAACCAAACCCTGAGCTTCTAAACTTAAACCCCTACACCCTGAACCTTCAACTCTAAACTTACCCACTCCCCCCCCAAAAAAAAAACACGACTCAGTGGCAGTCGCAAGACGATGCTTATAAAACACACCCTAATGACAGCGTTTCAAGATGCCACATGCCTTAAAACACCCACCGGACAAGCCCCTAAACCCTAAACGCCCAAGCCGTAAACCCTAAACCCGACACCATAACAACCCCGAAACCCCTGAACACCTAAACCCCTATATGGGGTTTTTAGGGTTTAAGGGTGTAGGCGTTTAGTTAGGGTTTAGGGGTTTAGGGTCTATAGGGTCTATAAGGTGTAGGGTCCTATATCCCTATAAACCCTAGACCGAGAGGTCTTGAAAGATCAGGGTCTGCTCGGCCCTGGCTGGCAGCTGGCCACTGGGCCTTAAAGGGTCGTTTAGGGCTTAGGGCTTAGGGTGCAAAGGGGGGGTTCTGAAGTCTAGTGATTTTGCAGAGTTTGGGAGTTTAGAATTTAGGGCTTTGAGGGTGTAGATGCTGGGAGTTAGGTTTTGGGGTTTAGGGCGTTAGGGTGTGGGGGGTTTTAGAGCTCCTGGCACTCAGAAGAGCCGCAGAGCCCATCTAAGCCCCATGTAAAGCCAGACCCGAAGCCCGCGTTCATGTTTTTGGGTCGAGAGAATTAAGGTTTAGGGTTTAGGGTCTAGGGCTTGTGGGTGGGGTTGACGTTTGGTTTGCGGGCTTCTGCTCCATTTCTGGTGGCTTCAAGGTTCGGGGCGAGGGCCAAAATTCCGACCCACAAGGCCCTAAACCTAGAAATCTTCTGACCCTTGGGTCAGCCGTTTGCGGTCAGTACTGCTACCAAGCAAGCCCCACAAGGCCCAATCCATATTATTAATATTAATAATATTAGTAAAATTAAGAATATTCCAATCCTGGTAAGGTACCCCCCCCCCCTTACTGCCCTGTCTTGTAGCACTCATGACTTCTCAAGGAGAAATCTGCGACCCTTTTGAAGGGGACGTAGGGGGACTTAGTAGGGGTTCCCGGTAAACCCTAAACCCTCAACCCCGAAGCCTTACCCCTAAACCCCGCACCCTAAACTCTTCTTTGCTTTGTTGGGGTGCACTTTTCCAGGTGGGTACCGACACAATCTCTGCGACAGATCCTCTGCTGCCGGTCGGGTTCCAGACGTTTCTTCCCTACGGACACTCGGGCATGCAGTTTGTGGGATGGGAGCGGGGTTTCGGGGTTGAGGGTGAGGCTTCTAGGGTTTGGGTGCTGTGTTTGAATGTTCGTATCTCTTTGCAAGCCGGGCAGCATGTCAACGACTGTTTTCGAATTCTGTTGGTGCCAGCTGCACTTTCTCTTCTTCCACTCAAGACCTGTGCAACTTTTCGCAATACTGGTCATCAGCGCATTACGAGTCACTGCAATTGCTCCAATCGTGTTTTCGGGGGCCCTTGATCTCTTCTCGAACCTCTTCACAGAATTTGCGTGATTCCCCGAGCAACCGAGGAAAAGGCTCGCGATTTCCGGATTTCCAGAGCTTCTGGTCCCGGCTGGTGCCTGAGGACATCATCGGCCCAGAGGCAAGGCAGCTAGCCGGCAGTTGGGAAGCTTCTTGGTTTCCGTTTTGCTCCTATAGCATATATAAGTAGAGACAGCTCTTCATAGTAGTAGTAGTAGTAGTAGCAGCAGCAGCAGCAGCAGCAGTAGTAGTAGTAGGACTAGTGAGTAGTAGTCGTAGTAGTAGTGGTGCAGTTGGGAAACTTCTTGATTTCCCTTATGCGACTATAGAAGTAGCTCTTCGTCGTCGTCTTAGTAGTAGTAGTAGTAGTAGTAGCAGCAGTAGCAGTAGCAGTAGCAGTAGCAGTAGCAGTAGCAGCAGCAGTAGTAGTAGCAGTACTTGTAATATTAGCAGTAGTAGCAGCAGCAACAACAACAGCAGCAGCAGCAACAACCACAACAGCAGCAACAATAATAACAATGAAGGATAGCAATCATACCAAAAGCAGTGCTCACAATCATCATAATGATAGAATGATAGCAACAATAGCAATAGTAACATTAATGAACAAGAGCAACAATGATAGCAATAATCATACCTCTTCGATAGAAGCGTGCGGGGGGGGGGGTTGTTGTTCCCCGATTTGGAGAACAACGCCACCCCCCCCCCTTTGTTGTTCACCTCCTGTTCTTCGAACAACAACCCCTCCACTCCCAAGCCCCTGTTCGTCGAACACCCCCCCCTCAACCCTGTGCTTCGAACAACACCCCCCCCCCGCCCACCCCTGCCAGGGGGAGAATAGGAAGAAGAGTAACACCAACAGTAGTGTTATGTAAGGATGATAGTTGCCGTGGTTTTGTTGGACAGTCGAACTCAGGCAAGAATATCGGCTGGATATGATGCAGAGGCCTTTGTCAGATGATTTCGTCATTGACGTCATGGCAGAGAACGCCGATGGAAATTCTTGGCAAGCTCTCGCCTTTGATTGCGTCTACTCCTTCCTAGTATCGATCAACCAGCTCCTGCATAAAGGCTTCAAGGATCACGAAATCAAGGGGGAGTTGCTTCTCAAGGAGCTGCGAAATGTGAGCTTCACGGGAGTTCCTGGGCCCTGAAGTACGCAGATTTCCTTTCCTTTGAGTTGACTTTGGAAGGCCAAAGCCTTTTGTTTGGGGGCCGTTACAGAACAAACGTCAGGACTTGTTTCTTTGAAGAAACAACCCCTGAACCCTAAAGCTTAGACCCTGGACCCTAAACGCTAAATCCCTGACTCTACAACCCTAAGCTGCAGAACCACTGAAGGTTTCCGGCCACATCACCTTCAACGAGGATGGCGATCGCATGGGCGAGTATGAGCTCTTGCGCTTTGGAGACCAATATGGGGGTTTCCGAAAATAAGGGGTACCCTCTTTGGGGGTCCTTACAATAAGGATCCTACTATGTAAGGTACTACATTAGGGTCCCCTATTTTGGGAAACCCCCCGTATATTATTGGCCTTAGTAGAGCAGGGTTCCTTTAAAGGGTTTCTATAAGGAACACATTCCTGAGAAAGTACAAGAGTCTAGAGGTTTGGGGTACATGGCGAACATACTTATAAGAAGGAGGCCGCAGTAAGAGATAATGCTAGCTGCTTGTTGGGTTTAGGGTTTAGGCATAGATGTTTCGCCGAAGCACGCAGCACAGTTCAGAGCCCCAGGGCCCGAACCCTAAGCCCTAAACTTTCCGGCATCCCCAAAAGTAGGGCGCTTCCGTAGGCATTGTAGCAGCCATAGAGTCATCCAAGGCCAACGAAACGCTGATTTTGAACTGGGGGTTTAGGGTTCAGTAGTTAACATGAGGCTATTGCAGTATTGTACTAGACAAAATGACTTTCGTGCATACATTCGAGAAAACCATCAGAGCGGGACGCCCGCATCCCTGAACCTCCCAAACCCTGCACAAACTCGTAGGTGAAACTGACTCTGTGTGGATGTTGTCATCCTGTACGGCTTAGGGTTTAGAGTACACCTGAACCCTTGAAACCCAAAGCCGAAAATCCTAGGCCCTCGGAGAACCCCGTAATGAACCCCTTGTAAAGCCTCCAAATTAAGGACACGTAAACAAGAGCCGAGCCCTTAAACCCTATACATCCCTGGACCCGAAGTTGCCCTATAGAAAGCCTAAGTCCTGAACCCTAATCCCTAAACGCTAAGCCCTAGAGAACCCTAAGTTGCCCTGTACAAACCGTCAACCCTAGAGAACCCGAAACCCTAAGCTTCAAACCCCTAAACCCTACGCCCTACAGAACCCGAAGCCTCAATGCCTAAACTCTGAACCCTATAGAACCCTAAGCCTTAAAGCTTAAATCCTAAACCCTAAACCCAAAAGAACCCTAAGCCCTCGCTGCGGAGAAAGGGCTATTGCATCTCAAAAGAAACCCTAAACCCTACAGAACCCTAAGCCTTATAAACTCTAAACCCTAAGCCCTGTAGAACCCTAAACCCTAAAGCACCGTAAGCCTTATAAAGCCTAAACTCTAAACCCTAAGCCAGAAACCCTAAACCCTGTAGAACCCTGTAAGCCATAACCTCTCAAACCCCAGGAACGTGCAGCTGGGCAGCTCGGGGACTCTGGAAGCCTTGGGCGCCGCGATCTTCAGCGCGCAGACGCGGGAGTTCACCTTCCGGACTGCCATGGTGCCTTCGGTTTTCGTGTAGGGGTGGAGGGCTTAGGGCTTGGGGTTTAGGGGTCTAGGGTTTAGTTTAGGGTTTAAGGCTTAAAAGTTTAGGGGTTAGGGTTTAGGGATACTGGCCGCCCTCAGAGTTTCCCCAGTATGCTTGTAGTAAGGTAGATAGAACGCGGTGCCTGAATATCTAGAAGTAGTGTTCCTTGGGTTTTAGTATGGTTTCAAAATCTTTGGTGAGTTCCTGCTATTCAGGGTTCGGGGTTGGGGTTTTAAGTTTTAACTGCTCGTGTAAGAAGGTTTCTGAATGTTCGTTAGGCGTACCCTACTTGTATCCAGAACGAGGTTGGCGTAAGACTCAATGCGGACACCGGCTGAATAGACCCCCCGTGCTTTCTATGAATCCCAGCAAGAATCCTGATACTGTTGCTGCTTCTAGCAAGGAGATGGTGTAATCAGTGATTCCCTACACCTGAACCATGAACACGCAAGAAACCCAAGAGTTGGTGCTTGAACCCTCAGCTCTTTTTGCCCTCCTACCAGCAGCCCTGGAAGGAAGCCTTGAAGTAACCCTGAACCCTAAACCCTAGAGCCGCAAAGCCTTGCATCTTTGAAGCCCTAAACCTTACACCCCCAGGCCAGACCCCAAACTCGAAGCCTTAAGCCCTAAATCCTAAGACTTCAAGCCCCAAACCCTAAGCCCGGAAACTTCAAATGCAAAACCCTAACAACTTAAGGCCCTAAATCCCAAAACCCCGCAAACCCCAAACCCGAAGCAAACTCGAAACCCCGAAACCTCCCAGACTTAAAGCCCTAAAACCCCAAACCCTAAAACCCCAATTCCCCAAACCCTAAAAGCCCTAAAACCCCAAAACCCCAAAGCCCCAAAACCGAAAAAGGTGTGGATGGACGGATCCACGGGTGAGCGGCCACCGGAGAGCCTCTCGGCCTGCGATCCCGGCTTCTACAAGGCAGCTCGGCGTCTTTACAGGGGGTGTCTTAAGGGGTTTAGGGTTTAGGGTTGAGGGTTTCGGGCTTTAGGGTTTAATGTTTAGGGTTTAGGTTTAGGGTTCCTCAAAAGGGTCCTTTAAAGGGTTCCTACCCTAAACCCTGAACCCTAAACCCTTAAAGGTATGTGGGCCTTAGAGGGTTCCTGAAAAGGGCTCCTTTAAAAGGTTCCTTAAAGGTACGCGTAAGTAAGGGGTGAAGAGGATGGTTCAAGGGAGTCACGGTCGTGGGATTCGGAGATGCGGGGGTTTGGCTCCATGGGCTTTAGGGGCAGCGGTTGAGGGGCTTCAGGTCAGGGTAGGGTTTAGGGTTTTGGGTTTAGGGTTTAGGGAGTTTGGGGTTTAGGGTAGTCAGTTTTATGCCAACCCCGAGCACCAATTCGTTACTACGAGGGCCCAAGCCGTGCTGAAACTTTAGACCGCAAAGCCACGTGCGTTGATGTTGCGAGAAGAACTTTGCAGCGATTTGGGTCGTCGGCCAGAGTCTTTGGTATTCGTTTGTTCTGGGGTTTAGGGATTAGGGTTCAGGGTTTAGGGTTTTGGGCCAGGCTTGAGCATTAAGGTTCTTGACGGTGTATGTCTTGGCGAGATAAAGCCTGAACTTCGCCCTGAACCCAAACCCTTAAACCTAAATAAACACTGGTCCTGAGCCCTCAATCTTAGAGAAACCCTAGCCCTTAACCCTTAAGCTTCGATACACCCTAACTCTGAGCCTTTAAACCGTAAATAAACCTTAACCCTAGGCCCTAAACCCTGGAACGTAAAGCTTTTGGGCCTTAAATGAACCCTGGCCTTAAACCCTATAAGGCATTCAGGTGCCGCACCAACCCAATCTCGACCCTAAACCCTGAACCCGCCCAAATGCGATTCCCCAAACCCCTAACAACATCTCTTCGGATTTCGGGGATCCGTGAAGTGCAGAAAATGGACTAAACCCTAAACCCTAAGCCCTAAACCTTAAACCCTAAACCGTAAACCCTGAACGTGGGTTTTTCTTTGCGGTTACCTGCGGTAAGAGCGCAGCACAGGATGAGACCCGGCAGTGCAAGATCTGCCCACGAGGATGCCTGGCTGCACGTCGGGCCTTTGTAGGGCTGTCTTCGGCTTCGTACCGGCGTTTCAGAAGGGCTGTTCATAAGGTCTTTATGCCGGTGTTACAAAGGGTCTTATAGTAATAAGAAGGTTCTTTTCGGGCTGTTTTGTGGGGTTCCGGGGCTTGTTTTGGGTTCTGCAAGGCTTGGGGGGGCTTTCGAATGCTGTTCGCAGCTGTTCTGTTCGGTTCAGAAGCATTGTTGGGGTGCTAGAAGGACCCTAAGCCCTCAATAAGAAACCTTAAGACCACAAGCCCTATGGTATCAAGCTTTGGGTCTGGGGGATATACGTAGCTGACGGTTTTGTTTTCCAAGGGTGGGCTTAGGGTGGGCAGGGTTCTTACAGAGTCGACTCGGTGGTTCGGAGTGCAGTAAGGAGCAAGCCATGAAAGACGCTAAGACGTGAACCCGGCAACCGTAAATCCTACACCCGAAACCCTTCAAAACAGACCGAGGCCCCAAAACAAGCAAGCTTGGTGTTGGAAAGGGGCCCTCAAAAAGGATGAAGCCATTTGCTACATGATTGGCTGCTTACCCGGGCCGCGAAGGAGTCATTTGGAACCATAAGACTGTAAGACCCTAAGCTCATCTTGTAATTAAGCCCTGAACCAGAAACCCTGTAACCCATGGAACACCTGTGTAAGCACTTCTCAAGTCCGTTATAGACAAACCCTAAACCCGAAGCTCGAAGCCCTAAAGACTGGCCCAGAACCATTGAACTCTAAAGCCTAGAAAGGATCTTAGGAACCCAGATCCCTAGTATTTACTATTATCTACTATAGATCCCTAGTATTTACTATTATGTACTATAGATCCCGATTATGGTAGCTTAATTTACATCCAGTTTAACAAGAACCCAGGCACCCAGTGTGCGGTTCCAGTGGCCTCGCCACGTGCCCCAGAGGGGCCTTCGCAAACGGCACTGGGATGTCGAATTGCACGCTCTGTCCCAGAGGCCTGGGTTCTAGAGTTCCACAGGACGGTCTGGGTAGTAAACCCTAAACCCCAAAGTCTAGGTAGTAAACCCTAAAACCTAAGCCCTAAAGTCTAGGTTTAGGGTTTTCAGTGCTTCGCATAGGTTTTTTGGTGCCTTTAATCCGGCTCCAGGCTTCGGGATCTAAGTGGTTTTGCCTGATTCCACAGGAGAAGTACCTGTGGATCTTCGTGAGTAGAGGGCAGGGTTTGGGGTTTAGGGGTTTGGGGTTTAGGGTTGAGGGGTTTGGCTTTAGGTTCTAAGGGTGCGGATATTTGATCTGCACACCCCCGACTCTTCTCCATTATGGGGTAACAGCCGGAAACGCTGAGGTATGGAACAGTTACGAAACCGTCCGGACAGAACCTGCACAAACTCACACCCGAACTTGTGGAACAGCTTCACCTTGTTCAACCCTCTCCGAATCGGAATCCTCAAACCCTCCTCAGCTGTTATGAGCCCTAAGTACCCCCTTGTAATAAGACCCCGGTAGGAAAGCCTACAAACACCGCGAAGTCCGTAGCTTTTGAGGCACCTTCGCCAGAGATGTGGGCTCCTTCGAGTGCAGTCCCTGCCAAGAGGGCTACGAAGCGCCGAACATGGGCTCAGAGACTTGCACCAGGCCGA